TTTGTTTTAGTCATATTTATAGACATCCTTATACCTAGACTGTGTATATATAAAAACACACCATTAACCGAGAGGTTCCACTCAGTATTGGTGTAGGCCATGTGTGAGGTTGTTAGTTGTGTGCCTGGACCGGGAATTGAACCGGCAATCTCCAATGCCTAGGGCAACACCAATACCACTTGGCCAACAACCTCACAGCGCAATTTTTTGTTTTAGTCATATTTATAGACATCCTTATATTTAGAGTGTGTATGTATAAAAGCACACCATTAACCGAGAGGTTCCACTCAGTATTGGTGTAGGCCACGTGTGAGGTTGTTAGTTGTGCTCTGACCGGGAATTGAACCGCCCATCTCCAATGCCAAGGGCTACACCAATACCACTTGGCCAACAACCTCACAGCGAAATTTTTTGTATTAGTCATATTTATACCCATCGTGTTAATCATTCTGTCTATGTATATAAAAGCACAACATTAACCAAGGAGTTCCACAATCATGCTCCTGGAGGGCAATATGGGAGGTTGTTAGTTGTGCCCTGACCGGGAATTGAACCAGCGATCTCCAATGCCAAGGGATAAATCAATACCACTTGGCCAACAACCTCACATCGAAATTTTTTGTTTTAGTCATATTTATAGACATCCTTATATTTAGAGTGTGTATGTATAAAAGCACACCATTAACCGAGAGGTTCCACTCAGTAATGGTGTAGGCCATGTGTGAAGTTGTTAGTTGTGCCCTGACCGGGAGTTGAACCGCCGATCTCCAATGCCAAGGGATACACCAATACCACTTGGCCAACAACCTCACAGCGAAAGTTTTTGTTTTAGTCATATTTATACCCATCGTGTTATTCATTCTGTCTATATATATAAAAGCACAACACTAACCGAGGACTTCCACAATCGTGCTCCTGGAGGGCAATATGGGAGGTTGTTAGTTGTGCCCATACCGGGAATTGAACCACCGATCTCCAATGCCAAGGGCTACACCAATACAACTTGGCCAACAACCTCAGAGAGGAATTATTTGTTTTAGTCATATTTATAGACATCCTTATATTTAGACTGTGTATGTTTAAAAACGCACCATTAACCGAGAGGTTCCACTCAGTATTGGTGTAGGTCATGTGTGAGGCTGTTAGTTGTGTGCCCTGACCGGGAGTTGAGCCGCCGATCTCCAATGCCAAGGGCTACACCAATACCACTTGGCCAACAACCTCACAGCGAAATTTTTTGTTTTAGTCATATTTATACCCATCGTGTTATTCATTTTGTCTATATATATATATAAAAGCACAACATTAACCAAGGAGTTCCACAATCGTGCTCCTGGAGGGCAATATGGGAGGTTGTTAGTTGTGCCCAGACCGGGAATTGAACCAGCGATCTCCAATGCCAAGGGATACACCAATACCACTTGGCCAACAACCTCTCAAAGGAAAATTTTTTTTAGTCATTTTTATACAAATGTTTGTATTGAATCATTGAATGAAGGAATTCCACATTAGTTTCTCCCCTAACCTCGTCCTCCTGGAGGGCAACGTATGAGGAAGTCAGGTTACATACATACATACATACATACATACATACATACATACATACATAC